GTTGTTTTTACTTGAACTCGCAAACCTTCAGATTTTGACTCAAACATTCTGCCACAGCGTCACTGGGTCGGATCGGTTCAGTAATAATGTTGAGTGATATGATGCACATCGATCGCTTACAGAATACACACACTTAACCGAACATTTATTATACACGTTCAATTTTTTTTATTTTAATATTATAAAGCAAAAAATACCGAACAGACCGTTTTGGCTTGGATTCAGGAATACGTATACAGTACATACGTGAGCTAAGCGAGTCTTTAAAGGTTATAAAACCGCACATGAAATTTTGCACTTTTGTGCATTTTTCTAAATTCCAAAATGTTCAATATACAACATTAACAAATGCATGAACGTTAACGAAGCTGTATTGCAAACAGGCAAACTACTACTGTAGTGAGGAAACGTGAACAACGCACTCGCAAGGATCTGTTCATCGGCTTGTGATGATTCATTGATCAAAATTTATTCTTACAATCTGAAGACACGTATCAAATCGTGCATACACGAATCGGTTGTGCACACACTACATGCTCGTGTGGTTTAATCTAACAACTGAGGGAACGAGACAGAACGAGGCGGAACATACGAAACAAAAAATATAAATTAGCGATGGAATCATGACCCAGACTTGTGGCAATTCATCGAGCCGCGGGCGGGGTGAATAATTCAACAGCATCGGTCCACTCCCAGACACTGCCCCATGAATGTGTTGTGCTTTGATTTTTAATCCATAATTTACATGGCAATGTATTTCGTCAACGGCGTGTCGTGATGCCAGAGGAGCCCTCACTATTAGCCCAACCTCGTGCCACCGCCAGAAAAGGCAGCGAGACCTCTGGAGCAATAATCGACCTGATCGAACCAAACACAAAAGACAGTGCTCCTGCATGATCTTCGCATGTCATTAATCACCGGCACTTTTGTGTATGTTGACCTCGGTGCTGTGACGCACCAATTTCAAGTGACCAGCGAAATGCCATAGTTTATTTTGCGTGTGCAACCATTGGTGATGCGTTGTACGTTGGCACTCCGTGCCGTCTTTGAGCCCCGCCCCCCCTCCCTCCTGATATGTTCTATCATTGGCTACCACATTTTGATTAGCCCCCCCTCTCCTCCCCCTCAACTTGCTTTTTAAGGGATTACATCTTGAATCATTGCCTCACTTGATGCAGCTAATCCAGCTGTGACGGTCCCACCTGATGACGGAGACTTGTGTTGCCTCCGAAACGTCGTGATTTTTGTTTTATTTTATTTATTTTTATTAATTTTGATGTTTTACCTACGTGACTTTACCGAAAAAACCTAAGAATACGAATCCTTGCAGTCACGAAAGCTTCAAATCTAGAATCATTGGTGATAGCGTAGCCTGTTTTCTACAGCACACCATTCTCTCGTTCCATCACTCTTGATTTCCCGCACCTCTGATTAGCACAATTGGCTACATATGGTGCATAGAAAGTTCAAAATACTTGTGTGTCGAGATTCGTATGTGCGTGGAAGACGCCCTGTACACCAGACTGTGTCAGCTGGCAAAGTTCAGAGACCCACCATGCCACCCACTTTATTAACGATCGTTTAGCAGGTGGCTGAGTGACTCAGTGGGAGGTGCCATGGCAGTGCATTACCACCAACCCGACCAATCCAGCATCTCAAACACAACTGGAACGAGGACAATTAGGTCGACTAAAACTCGCAAGCGGCCCCACATCATACCCTCCCGAAGGTGGGAAACCCCCCACAACAGGCCACGGCCAGCGTGACGTGGCTCAAGATGCCATCGATATCACCAAACCCCGCCCATCACCTCCCGTCCAGCAGCACACAAGTGTTATTAAATTCGTCGAATAATTAAACTTCCTGGAAGAGAAATCGATTACTTTAAATCCAGATTGAAAAGTAATTTCTTTAGAACTGCTTATTTTATTTTAGTTTGTGGTCCTTCCCCCAGACCTCCAATTAGCACGGTTGGCTACGTACGGTGCAAAAGAAGTTTAAAATACATACATTCTAAAGGCAACAAAGCGGCCTAGACTCCGGCCCCTTGTTTGGCCTTGGAGCAGATAAAAACATTACGCTGTTAATCTATATCATGGTTTCTCAAACGCCAGACCTCACGAGCCGCCAGTATGGGTTTTTTTATGTTTACCAATCATCAGGTGCGTATAGTTTGTAAGCTGAATGTGCCATGTTAAAAGTGAAGTCTGGAAAATGTGGAAATGTGTGCAATGTTTTTGTTTTAAGGACTGTATTTTGAAAATCCCTGGGTTTGGAATTTCAAATGGCGTGAGACGTTAATGCATATCATAACAGAAAAACATTAGAATATAGAGATGGAATCAAGTAACTGTGCCAGAAATTATCGAATGTGCTTAATTTAGTGTCACACAGATGTGATAATAGCTCAGGAGATAGGGCTGGCTTTTCTGGATAATCGTGACAGGCAATTAGCTCGGAAGAAAACTTGAAAGTGGGCAGCAAATTCCAACTTGATAGGGCAGAAAAATTATACGATTTTTTTGTTACACAGAGGTCTGTGACTGCAAATCACCAACTCCCCTCCGTTTCTCGTCAAAAGTTCAACAATGTCAAACATTTGCAATTGGACTTTAGATTGACAGATCCCAAACAATGTTATTAACCTACCGAGACACTCAGCCACTGTACGGAACATTATTCATATTTGAAAGTTTATTTAGTGATTTTTATTATTCGCCTCAACCATTTCGTCAGTGTCTCTTCTCTCAATCCCGTGAGAGGCTCTGCTTATCCTCCATTGGTGGTCCAGTGATGGAAATTCCACATTCATATGGCAGGGGTTAGGCTTTAGAAAGGACAACCACTACCTTCAAAGTGGCCACAAGGAGCCGTTCAAAATTCAACACAGTATTGCTTCGATTTTTACTGGCGCATTCATTGTTTTCATGGGGTCCGTGAATATGTTCTCGAAGGATTTCCCGACTTGAGGAGGGCGATGCGGTGTCGCCACAACTGTAAACTCAAGCCACAACGAATGCTAGATCAGCGGTGCAGCTATCGAGTGTGCAGGCGGTGCAACTGCATCGCGGCCTGTGTGACATCGGGGCCTAGGCAACAGGCTCTAAAGAGGAGTGTGAGGGGGATTTACACAGGGCACGAATCATTTCGTTTTTTGGAGCAGGGCCCATGTCAACCACACCGTGCCACCGCGCTCAATTTCTGCAAAATGTTTACAAAAACAGACCGTCTGTCCTGTGAGCTCATATTTGTCTTCAATATGATTGACAAAGAAGTTTCATTTAACGATGACCATGTTGACGGTGTGTGATGAACGGCTTAATGCGGGCTTCTTCAACTATCCATAATAAACATTTATCGGGTTCTATCGCGATTATATAAATGCTAAACCCGCCACCACCTGACACGGCCAATTAGTAAGATTTGCGATGTAAACAAAACGTGTCAATTAGTTACTACTACTAATTGCTGTGGGTTTACTACTGGAGAGTAAACCCACAACAATTACAATTTGAGTACAACGTTTACAATCAGCCTCATCGGGCGATTTGCCAGAATTGTGAATAAGTCTTCCTGTTTCGGTCTTAAATTAGGAAAAGGTAATGTCACCACTGTTGGTTTAACGACACATTTATATTTACGCGATCTAACCCAATATACCCTTTATTAAGGCTAATATTCGACGCGAAAGCCTACTACGTGTTAAACTTCATCAACTATATTTTCGGGCAGGCCCCCAAAATAAAACGAACGCTTGCTGACAAGCTCATGCGACGTGACCAGATGATTTGGCGTCACACCGTGTCACCGTGTCAGGACGGCTGTACCTGTAACCACGAACGTGTACCCCGAGTCTCCATTGTCTCCCATTCATCGCTTGTTCAACTCGCTTTCATCCCACTAAGATGTGTCTCTGGTCTACACATTAGGTTTTTTTTTCGCTTGCTATCACGTGTTTGTCTCTTTCATCACAGGAAACTGGATCTCTCCGTGTGTCCCAGCGAGGGGTATCTCTTAGCGGGCCACTCCAAGGGCCTTCGCAGGCCACCAGTTTAAAGGAAGACGCAACCAAAACAACAAACACATCTGGCAGCTAAACACCTTTGCACAGTGGTGGAAATGTGCCGGTATACGACGGCACTTCTCAGAACACCAAACACGAGCAAACGGGCACACATTCACAACGGTTCATTTGCCTACGCTGCGGTGTTTCCACAGAGAGGGAATGACAGTGAACATGGCCTGCTGCAGGATGAATAAGTTTCATACCAGAGCTTCTACACTCACATTTGTACCACTGCCGATGTTGGCTATCCCTTGACACACCGCCTTGGCTATCCCCTGACACACCATCTTGGCTATCCCCTGACTCACAGTCTAGACACAAATATTTAGGAGCTGTTTGTGTTTTTGGGCCTGCCTCTTACTTTACGAGCAGCATTCGAGCACGTGGCTCTGACAAACGTGTGGTCGGCGTAGTGATGTCGATTTAGCCTGATGTCAAACCAAACAATCCGACTCGTTTACAGAAGTCCATGGGCTCTGGGGGCTGTCCTGACCACAATCATGTTTCTTGTTTCTTCTGCAGTGGCAGTGTTTTGAGAAATAATCCTTCATCTCCAACAAATCGATTTGTTTTTTTTTTCCCCTGGAAAAAAGTGAGCGTCTCGACTACTTCGTGTAATCGTCTTAGCGGCAGTGAGGTCCAGTCTCTGGATGGGACGACCCTTTTGTCTCTGTGCCGAAACACGTGTGGGCGGGTGCTCATAGCAGTTGGTGGTGCCGAGTCGTTGGTGGAAATTCCACTTTCCCATGGCAGGACCCTGTCTTTCTATGGGATGAACACCTTTGACTTTTCCATAAAGCGGTACTTATTTATCGACCCCCTCCCCCAAGGAATGACGATGATGGGTTGAGTCAACGTATATATAATGTGCTGTGATATGGAATAAAACTCAACATACACAATTTATAATCAAGTTGCCAAACACCCGAGTAAATAAAACATTTGTAAACTTTTAAATACATAAATACAACTTATTTGTAAATATTAAATCATGGAAAGACACACTAATATTAAATCATGGAAAGACACACTAACTACAACTTTCATAAATACATACAATCGCACGACACAAATACGACTTGTGATCGTTAACACTCGGTGTTCGTGTGTTCATGCGGTGTCTGGTTCTGGGACCTCCAATTTCAGCCACTGGGGGTAAATACCTTCCACGCTAATACTGCATTTTACAAACTAAACCATGAATACATGTTTGCAGGTAAGGCCCACTGAGCTACATAGCTCTTTTTAAGAAGCGACCTGGCCACAAATGACAGCTCAACGAAGTGGCTCATCATGCGGACATTTAAAGCAGCCAAATGCTCTAAACGCGTCTTGTTGATTATAGATGTGGAGGGAGAAACCGGAGAAAAATACACGTGACCACGGGAAGAAAGACACACAAACTTCCAATATTCAGCAGGCATCAGGGTCGGGATCGAAACTACGACCTCCTGTATACCAGGCGAGGGAGTTAACGTCTCGCCACCGTGGCACCCTTGATGTGCAGCTGTTGTGAATTACTGGGTGATTGGGCCGAGAGGCGAGGAGCTTCAGTCTAGCAGTCGCCACATTTACATTAGGGGTAGGGAACGCATGGCCCAAGGGCCAGATACGGCCCGTGACTTCATTTCATGCGGCCTGCAGGCCATGAGGCTTACCACTTCGATAGAAGCCTGCAAATTACATTTATCCATCACCGCAATAATTTTCGCCGCGCCAATCGGGTACTGGAGGGGAATATTTTTGACCTGTAACATTGCATTCTAATTTTCGCGCGACCGGCCACTTTTGAACTGTGTGCGTGAATCCCTTGTAGAGATCTGCAAGCAGCTTCCAAGGGTTTATAATTAGCTTCGGTCTTGGTTCCGGCTGCCGAGGATGTCTCATAATCAGCGTTAAGCTACAGACATCATAGTATTGGGTGGTGTTCCACTCCCAAAAGCCACAACTAAAAAATACTGTTGACATGACCGGCGCTTCGAAGACTGTCCAGACAAACGTGGTGCTTCTGAGAATGTTTAAACACAGCAGCAACCATCATAGTGTACAATTAGTAATTTGAAGACTTGCACAAATCTTCAGCGTCGCTCCACCCAATGCAATCTCAATGCTAACATCAGTTATACTCAGACCGCTGGCCTTCTAATATCTTGGAAATAAAAACACAGCAGCAGCGCAGGCCACCATCATCATCTCACTATTGGGATCAAGACTCAACTGAAGCACAGTTCAGATGATTGGAACACTTCTGATAAATGTTTGACCAGAGCAGCACCCATCATCATCAACCCTCCGTTAGGCTTGAGTCTCAACTTAAATACTATGAACATGGTGTTTGTGATGAATTTTCAACTTTTAGTAGCAGCAACCGTCATCATCACCATCATCATCATCATTTTCCTTCTATTGCGGCCAAGACTCAACTACAACATTGACCATTCAACTGTGGTGCTTTATGATCATCACGATCATCGTCATTATCGTGGTCCCTCCATTGCGGTCAGCTACCACACTGTCTCTTTCATCATCGTGCTTGATCACCAAAATCAGCACCGTCACCCTCACCGTCATCATGTCCGCTATCATCATCATCATAATTGTTCAACAAAACAGTGTCTATACGGCACTGGGAATTCATCATCACCCTCGTCGCTGTCATCACCGACACCGTCGCCGCGGCAATTGTCTTCATCATCATCATCGCCCTCGTCGCCGTGCCTCGTTCGCACGACCAACTCGTCAAATCTTGGCCTCGAGCATCTCGAGGAAGAGCTTGTGCATGGGCACGCGGCCCTCCAGCTTGAGCGCGTGGAAGTGCTGCACGGCGCGCGCCGCCGTCTGGCGCAGCAGCGGCAGCGTCATGAGCAGCTTGCCGGCGCGCCGCGGGTCATCGCGCCGCGCGCTGCCCGCGTGCTCCCACAGGGCCTCGTGCAGCGCGTCTCGCAGCCGCTGCACCCCGTCGCCGTCCTCGATGTGTGTCGAGTCTGGGCGGTGCGGAGGAGATGTGGAGGTGGTGCAGAGGAGGTGGTGCAGAGGTGGTGCAGAGGTGGTGCAGAGGAGGGGAGAAGGAATGGAGGAGGCAGAGGAAAGATGAGACGGGGAAAATCGAGACAGAATTGAGACGGGCAGCAGTACGGACATCAGCGAAAGTGAGACGGAGCGATAGAGACGCGGGCAGCGAGGAATTCTGCGAGCAGGTGTGAGACGAATGCCAGTTACACCGGCAGCCATCGGCAGTGCAAATGGGAAGTTGTTAGTGACGAGGCAGAGGAGGCTATTGAACTCCTCGCCAATTTGGCACACTGGAGGGGTCAATTATAAAGAGACTTGAGGGATTCGCCCCCCCTCCCCCCCCCACGTGGACAGAGGGATTGAAGCAAAAATGGCATCTTGAATACTGAACGGTATGGATGATGATTATTCTCCTCATTATTGTGAGTGCATAGTTTTTACTGTTAAACACCTTTCACACATCATACATGTTTGAAAAGTTAATCGCTGGAGAGATGCTCTAGCCGACGGAGTGGCTTTAAAATCCTAAATCTGAGGCAGCGATTCAAACCGGCATCGAGCGTTGAATCGTTCTGGCTCCCATCCCCTCGGCTCCACGCAGCCATTAGTGCCACCATCTCCCTCGTGACCACAGTCACGCGCCCCAGGCCCTCCAACTCCATCACCTGTATTGTGGCAAATCCAGTTCGCACCCCGACCCCCTCACCGCTTGTAGACCTGGCGGCACTGCTCATGCCTGCAGTAGTTAGGGGCCGTCCATAAGTGACGTCACGCGATTTCGGACGATTTTTGACCCCCCCCCCCCTCGTCACACGGCGTCACAAAAAGTCAGACCCCCCCCCTTCAAATATGACGTCACAAAGCTCTGCCCCCCCACCCCCCAAAATAAAACATGCTTCAAATCGCTTTAAACTATTGTCATTGTAGTGCGTATTTAATGTGGCGCTGCACTCTGATGTTGTAGAACGTGTTGTTATATATTTATTTAAAGTCGCGCATTTTGATGTGACGTCACATTTCTCAACCCCCCCCCCCCCTCGTCACACATCGTCACAAATGTCAGAGGCCAGCGGCTATGGGGTTAGGCATCAGCAGTAGAAGCAGCGGACACTTAAACAATTTTATTTGTAAGGCCCACTGAGCTATGTAGCTCTTTTTCATAAGCAACCTGGCAGCGAAGTGACTTATCACGTGGAAATGTATAGCAGCCGAATACTCCAAACGCGTGATGTTGATTCTAAATGTAGAGTGATAAACCGGAGGATTTGGAGAAAAATCCACGCGACCACGGGGAGAGAGAGACACGCAAACTCTACATATACAGCAGGCGTCAGGGCCGGGATTGAACCCACGCCCTCCTGCATACCAAGCGAGGTAGTTCACATCTGGCCACCGTGGTGCCACACTTGTAGCAGTAAGGGAGACATCAGAGAGGAGAGACCCCCAACTGAGTGCGTACAACAGCGAGTTATTTACAGTAAATATAGAGGTGTAGGCGCGGTGTAAAATTAAAGTTGAGTTGCAACTACATGGCGCTAACCGTAGTGTAAAGCCGGCCAAGAAGGTTATAACACTCGTATTAGAGGAACGACTTCTTGGCCACGGCTCTATACCGCGGTAGCGTCGTGCAGCTTCAGGGAAACGCTCTCGTGCAGAACCGAGACGGACACCAGTAGCAGCAGCAGCAGAGAGGAGGACACCAGGAGACGTCGGTGGGAGTGTAAACACCACGGCAGGAGATGGGCGTCAGATAAAAGTCAGCCTCGATTCTATTACTTATTGCGCACGGATGACAGCAGCAGTGTGCTTCAGAAGCTCGTCGCCAGCGTCGTGGTCTGCTGCTAGCCACGACGGGAGGGCTTCAGCAACAGAGAGAGTGAGAGGGAGAGTTTGTGTCGCTTTGCAGTTCCTCCTCCGTTAAAGGAGCACAGATGAGAGTGGTTTACAGGACGGTCCACGAGTCAGCCTCGTGTAGCCACCAGAGAGACGCCAAGCAGCAGTCGCACAAATAACATGCACGAGCAGCAGTCAGACAGACATGAGACACCAGAAGAAGTTCAACATACACGCAATAGCGCAAGTAAGACATCAGGCAGACGACGGCCAGCCTGTCGTAGCACTAGGGGCTAGAGAGACACCAGGCAGCAGTGGAACAGGCATCAGACAGACACGAGCAGCAAAGTTAGACACCGGGGAGGAACCAAAAAAAACAAGGACAAAGGTCACCCAGAGAGCATTAACAGCCTGTTGGGGCAAGTGCTGTTCGCGAGCACATTAGAAGGCCGGCACGGCACACGAAGGGGTGGGTGTCCAGCACCACGCCCGGTCGCCTTTGTCTCCCTAGTGGCGATGTTTATACACCGTACTAGGTACTCATTTGAGGCTGGTTCGAACTAGGGGGAGGCCCCGAATCGTTTGAGAGAATCATCACCGGTGTTGGCTATGAGCGGGAATCGAACTCGGGCGGCCAGGTTAGTAGTGCAGCGTGCAAACCGCTACGACACTACCGCTCCCCTCTGGGGAAGTTGTCGTTGACACAAGCAGTGTTAGAGATCGCCCACTCCAGCTGGGCCACCCGATTGTTGAATTCATCGATGGCCACCAACTGTTGGTTCAATGACTCGACGCTGTCACCTCTGAGTCGCCCGACCACCGCAAAGCTCTCACTTGTTTTAAAGACATAACTCGAAATAATAATTTGCGTTGTTGTGCAGAATCTTAAACGACGCTATTAAACTATTTTTCTTTTACCAGGTAAGGCCGACTGAGCTATACTGTGCAGCTCTTTTTCAGAAACGACCTGGCCACAAACGATCGCTCAACGAAGTGGCTTATCACGTGGAACTGCACAGCAGCCGAATACTCCAAACGCGTGACGTTGATCCTCAACGTGTCTCTGGAAAAACTGTGGGCCCTCACCGGAGTTGGCGAGCGCTATCGCCTTGAGCAGCACGTACTCCTCCCTCTCGAGGCGCAGCGCCTGGTACTTGCCCACCAGATGGAGCATGGCCTGCGCCAGCTCCTGCAGTCCGGCGCGGCGCGCCAGCCCCTCGCCCAGCACCAGGTCGTCGGCGAAGACGAGCGCGCCGTGGCACGGCAGCGAGCGGAACACCACTCCCAGCACAAGCACCTCCATCCACGCGCTCTGCAGCAGCGACATCTGGTCGCCGAGCGACAGGATGGAGAAACCTGCGGTGGGGTCAGGGGTCGTCACAGAGCGTTAGCGAGGCCCTTGCTAGTGCCGATAGTGACCGAGTGTGCTGCTACGTTCGAAAAACGAAACCACTCTTGGTGGCGGGTTTAACGACACATTTCTAGATTTACGTGATCTAACCCTCCCCAAAAAAAACTCTATTATGGAAAACCACTCTTGGCTTCAAAACTAAATGGTAACAATTTACTTAAGTCAAGAGGGAAAATTATGATGACGAGAAACCTGCGGTGGGGACAGGGGTCGTCACAGAGCGTTAGCAAGGCCCTTGCTAGTGCCGATAGTGACCGAGTGTGCTGCTACGTTCGAAAAACGAAACCACTCTTGGTGGCGGGTTTAACGACACATTTCTAGATTTACGTGATCTAACCCTCCCCAAAAAAACTATTATGGAAAACCACTCTTGGCTTAAAAACTAAATGGTAACAATTGACTTAAGTCCAGAGGAAAGATGATGACGACGATGTTCGTGTGCCAAATCAACTGCCAACAACTAGGATTTGAACTCAAAAACCTTCCCATTCACACAAAGATTCGTGGTCATCATTATGCTCATCCTCGTCGTCATTTATCGTCGCTATCATCAACATCATCATCGTCGCCATCGTTATTTATCGTCGTGAAGAGCGGTGACTCCACGCTGCAGCCGCGCTTCCTCGGCGAACGCCCTCCTGGCGGTGTGCACGTCCACGGCGACAACGCTTGGTCAGCATGCCGGGCGAGCTCTCTACGAGCACTCCCTGCGAGCACGCAGGATGAGCGCTCTGTGCGAGGACGCAGGGCTAGCGCTCTTTGCGAGCACTTTCTGTGAGCACGCTCGGCGGGCATGCTGGACGGCGGTGGTGGCGTCCGTATCGAGTGCCCAGGGGTAACCGCGCCGCCGCCGCTGGGACATAGGATTACCATGAGATTTTAACAAAATCAATGTGTGCGGCTCACTCGGGCTGTCTGTCTGCACATTGGCGCTCGCAACGCAGGCAGATGTCGATACGGGTCATCGACACGTGACGACGACGATGACGACGATGTACGTGTGTAGCCCCTCAGTCAATACACTGCTGGATGACGTTCGCCCCATGGGTTATTTGATCATACAAATTTTTTTTTTTTACCAGGTAAGGCCCACTGAGCTATATAGCTCTTTTTCAGAAGCGACCCGGCCACAAATGATAGCTCAACGAAGTGGCTTATCATCATGTGGAAATTTACAGCAGCCAAATACTCTAAACGCACGTTGATTCTAAATGTGGAGGGAAAAACCGGAGGACTCGGAGAAAAATCTACGCCACCGTGGGGAGAGAGACACGCAAACTCCTAAGCAGATCCTGAGTTGGGGGAAGTAGGCGGTGTGAGCTAGGAGGTGGTAGGCGGTACGAGCTGTGAGGTGGTAGGCGGTACGAGCTGTGAGGTGGTAGGCGCACCCGGCACGTGCTTGGCCCAGCCGATGATGAGCACGAGCTCGCGGTCGGCGAGGTCGCACAGCGTGGTGAGCGCTGTGACGTCACACTCGGCCGCCCCGGGCCCCGCCATGGCGAACAGGCGGTCGGGTTCCACGACGAGCAGCTGGGAGACCATCTTGTTGACTGACGGGCGGACATGGGGAGCAAGAAGATAGATGCGGAGAAACAGAAGAGGAGGGAAGGATAGAAAGGCAAGAAGTTAGCTGGTGAGATTGACTACAGGTTGCTTTCGTTAGAGATAGACGCGGGATTGGAGTCAAGGGCTGGCCTCATGAGGTCAAGGCCAAAAGCATGTTATGACTAAGTCGGTGTGAAGGCCGCATCCTCAGCTATGCAGTTCGGAAACTGCCAAACACTTTGAAACAAAATTGATAAATGATATCTGCGTAACCTCACAGTTGCATATTAGATTCATGTTCGTTACAAAAAAATAATTGGCAATCAGTCAATGTTAAGCAATGTAAAGATAGCAATGGTTATGAGAGATATCCGAGTAATTGAAGTCGTCGAAGCAAGGACACCGGAGGGATTGTGTCAGGGAAGAGATCTGAGACGTGGTCCCAAAACGACACAGACAACAACACATACAACAACACAGACAACAACACAGACAACAACACAGACAACAACACAAACAGCAACACAAACATCAACACAGACAACAACACAGACAACAACACAGACAACAACACAGACAACAACACAAACAACAACACAGACAACAACACAGACAACAACACAAACAACAACACAGACAACAACACAGACAACAACACAGACAACAACACAAACAACAACACAGACAACAACACAGACAACAACACAAACAGCAACACAAACATCAACACAGACAACAACACAAACAACAACACAGACAACAACACAGACAACAATACAGACAACAATACAGACAACAACACAAACAACAATACAAACAACAACACAAACAACAATACAAACAACAACACAAACAACAATACAAACAACAACACAGACAACAACACAGACAACAACACAAACAACAACACAGACAACAACACAGACAACAACACAGACAACAATACAGACAACAATACAAACAGCAACACAAACAGCAACACAGACAACAACACAGACAACAACACAAACAACAACACAAACATCAACACAGACAACAACACAGACAACAACACAAACAACAACACAGACAACAACACAGACAACAACACAGACAACAACACAAACAGCAACACAAACAACAACACAGACAACAACACAAACAGCAACACAAACATCAACACAGACAACAAAAGAGACAACAACAAAGACAACAACACAAACAACAACACAAACATCAACACAGACAACAACAGACAACAACACAAACAACAACACAGACAACAACACAGACAACAACACAGACAACAACACAAACATCAACACAGACAACAACACAGACAACAATACAAACAACAACACAGACAACAACACAGACAACAACACAGACAACAACACAGACAACAACACAAACATCAACACAGACAACAACACAAACATCAACACAGACAACAACACAGACAACAACACAAACAACAACACAGACAACAACACAGACAACAACACAAACAACAACACAAACATCAACACAGACAACAACACAGACAACAACACAAACATCAACACAGACAACAACACAGACAACAATACAAACAACAACACAGACAACAACACAGACAACAACACAGACAACAACACAAACATCAACACAGACAACAACACAGACAACAACACAAACATCAACACAGACAACAATACAAACAACAACACAAACAGCAACACAGACAACAACACAGACAACAACACAAACATCAACACAGACAACAACACAGACAACAACACAAACAACAACACAGACAACAACACAGACAACAACACAAACATCAACACAGACAACAACACAGACAACAATACAAACAACAACACAAACATCAACACAGACAACAACACAGACAACAACACAAACAACAACACAGACAACAACACAGACAACAACACAGACAACAATACAAACAACAACACAAACAGCAACACAAACAACAACACAGACAACAACACAGACAACAACACAGACAACAACACAAACATCAACACAGACAACAACACAGACAACAACACAAACAACAACACAGACAACAACACAAACATCAACACAGACAACAACACAGACAACAATACAAACAACAACACAAACATCAACACAGACAACAACACAGACAACAACACAAACAACAACACAGACAACAACACAGACAACAACACAGACAACAATACAAACAACAACACAAACAGCAACACAGACAACAACACAGACAACAACACAAACATCAACACAGACAACAACACAGACAACAACACAAACAACAACACAGACAACAACACAGACAACAACACAAACATCAACACAGACAATAACACAGACAACAACACAGACAACAACACAAACAACAAAAGAGACAACAACACAGACAACAACACAGACAACAACACAGACAACAACACAGACAACAACACAAACAACAAAAGAGACAACAACAAAGACAACAACACAAACATCAACACAGACAATAACACAGACAACAACACAGACAACAACAAAGACAACAACACAAACATCAAGACAGACAGACAACAATCACTTGTGCACACAAAGACAGACAAGAACAAATAAATAAGAAAGACGGACACACACAGACATGGCAGATACATCGAGATGGGAGTACTTTAGGCAAGCATAGATTAAGCAACCTTTACCGCAGTCCATAATATACGTTTTTTTGTTGGATTAGATCGTGTAAATATATAAATGTGTCGTTAAACCCGCCACCACCTGACACAGCCAACTAGTAAGGTTTGTCACATAAATAGAACACGCCAATTCGTCACTAGTACAGCACTAGTGTATAGTGTAGTAGTGTATAGTGTAGTAGTGTATAGTGTGGTAGTGTATAGTGTAGTAGTGTGTAGTAGTGTGTAGTGTATAGTGTAGTGTAGTATAATAGTACAGCACACCGGTGTGTTGGAGAGCAAAGCCACAACATTTACAAACTGAGCACGACGTTTCGCCAGTAATTACAACTAGCTTCATCAGGCGACAGCCAGATTTGTGGAGAAATCCTCCTGGATCGTTCCTTAAATAGATGGATTCGTACTCCGATTGTAAATGTTTGGCTTGGCTCTCCAACACACCGATGTGCTATACTAGTGACGAATTGGCACGTTCTGTTGACGTGACAAACCTTACGAATTGACTGTGGCAGGTTTAACGACGCATTTATATTCACGCGATCTAATCCAACAAAGAAAAACCTGAATGGATATTGGTTGCGAAAGCCTACGTGTTAAACCTCACCAGAGTGTTCAGTCACACTGTTTATTGACAGAAGTAACAGTAAACTATAAACTTGTATTTATTTATTTTACCAGGTAAGGCCCACTGAGCTATTTAGCTCCTTTTTAGAAGCGATCTGCCCACAAATGATAGCTCAACGAAGTGACTTATCACGTGGACATTTATATCAGCCAAATACTCTAGAACGCATGTTTCTAAATGTGGAGGGGAAACCAGAGGACCTGTAGAAAAATCGGCGCGACCGCTGGCGGAGAGACATCGCAAACTCCAAATATAATACAGGCGTCGGGATCGAACCAACGATCTCCTGTATACCACGCGAGGTAGTTAACGTCTCGCCACCGTGACTCACGTTGTGGGTGGAGATGTGAGTCATTGATTCGCGGCATCGTGCCATAAACCTGGTGGCCCGAGTTTTGATTCCAGGGCACGGCTAAAATGAGTGGCGAGTGATGCCTGAACAGGTCCTGGACACTCCTGTCGCCAACCCTTAACTGATGAAATATGGGGCCTTCATCCAGCAGTGGACTGACAAAGAGTTGGGCAATAGCTCTTCAGAGCAGAGAGGGCAACCAAATATCGTGGCAGTTTGAGGAGGAAAATGTGGAATTTCCGCCACTTGCTCGGGGTCACCAAGAGAGGCGAGCGCCACTGATGGCGCGTCTGTGTGGGGAGAGACGCTGCGGCTTGGGTTGGCAGGTGCAGCTGTTAAAGCCGAGTCTTGGGGGGGGGGGGAATAAGAAAAAATTGGAGACGTGGATCGTTGAAATTTAGAGATGGGTAATAAACAAATGGTTGAACGCTGATTTGCTCCATCACCCGGGATGCGCCTGACCTCGGCTGATCTCGGAGTTGGGCAGCAGATGGCAGTGCAGCACGACTTGTGGTTATAGTTGCTTGTGAATAAACGCCGAGAACGAGACGAATGTCTCGCCTCTTCCGGGCGACTCCTCTTTTCCGTGTACTAACGTGAGAGCGTGACACGAGCCGTCGCGCGTTAAAGTGATGCTGACTTGATGCAACGGATGACATTAACCCTACCCCCTGGTCCTGCTTGAACCACGAGCCCCGATTCAGACGTCTTCTTGTGAGGCCAGCGTAGCACGGGTTTGTCCCGGCTCGGCTCAGCATTGTTGCCAGCGGAAATCGGCGCCACACTGGCGTGGCTCGGATATGCCAGTGGGAAAGGGATATAACCAGGCCCGGACTGCCCTATGGCCGGTGGGCCGGTCTGTGTGGGGAAATTGCGAATGTGATGAGAGTAAAAAATAAAAAAATATTTCATTACGTCTGTGTGCGCTTCATTGCTTAGTTACGCTCTCAGTTGGCTACTAAGTCCCCATATTCAGCAGCCCCCAAAGATTCTTCCTCACCGGCCACCCACTTGTGTGTTTGCACCCAGCCCCCAAAGGGCCCAATGAGATCGCACTGCAGTTCGGGGCCCCGGCGTGTGCTTTACAAACAAATGCCTGGGCCCATTTCGAGTCCCAGTCCGTCACCGGGTGTAATAAGGCCACCCTTCGGGTGTACACGAGCCGCTCGGCAGTGACCTCAAGGGGGTCATGCGGGAGGAACCCAACGAGTCCTCTCACCGGGCCGCTTTGCGGGCTGCAAGGCGGCGGGCGGCTGCAGGAGGGCGCCGCTCTCCGCGTCAATCCGACGCTTGTATTTCTGTCGTCCCCCACGCACCCTGTCAAGACGCACACCTGCACGAGAAGACACAGAGATCCCCCTGTAACAATGTGGCTTCATGCAAGATCGTTGGGCCAGTGCTGTTAGCGAGCAGCATCTGTCAGGGCTGGCACGGCACACAATGGGGTGGGTGGTCGGCATCAAGCACTGCACCAAGCACTGATTTAGGGCTGAATGAACATAGGCGAGGCCCAAGACTGATTCAAATATACACCACTCTTATTAGTCACGAGCGGGAATGGAACTTGGGTCGCCGGGGTGAGCAGTGAAGCGCGCTAAACATTGCACCACCGCTCCCCGTAACAAAGACAACAATCCCCCATATAGCCTTAACACATTGTAGGAGCAAGTGCTGTTAGCGAGAACCTATGAAGACCGGCACGGCACACGAGGGGGTGAGTGTCTAACACCACGCCCGGCCGCCTCGCACCAGGTACTCAATGAGTCGACCTAGATAAAAGCGGGGAATCGAACCCGGGTCACCAGCTTCGTAGCGCAGCGCGCTGACCGCGACGCTACCGCTCCCCCAACACCGCCGCTCCATCGCCACCCAATGCGCTCGCCAACACGCGCGCAGAGCCGAGCCACCCGGCCACCTCGAGACGGCGCCGCTGCCGTTGGGCCGCGTGTTCGGTGCCGTCCGTGTCGCGCGCGCAGAGCCGAGAGCGGCGGCACGAGCGGCTGGGTGCGGTGCCACCGCGTGCCGCTGGATGACGACCGCTGCTCTGGCCCTCCCTCCCTCCCTCCCCACCCACCCAACTCCTCTCTCTCTTCTCTCTAAGTCTTTTTTTTTACGATCAGTGGAAACAAGAAGATGCTCGGTGTAGTCGGCACTTTGCTTCGTTCATCATTTCGTAATTTTTAAAAAAAATTACTTTGCTTTATGTAAACCCCCACCTCTCGCTCACTCTCTCGCTCACTCTCTCTCTCTCGCTCTGCACGCAGCCCTTCTCGCAGTCCGACGGCCTCCGACGGGTAGCTCATAACTGCATGCAGAGCTCCCCGTCATCTGCCACCGAGCATACGGCCTCCTCCATCGCCCACTGCTCCTTGAAGGCCGGCACGGCGTGGGTCAGCCGCGCCGCATGGCGGAACTCCAGCCCTCACACCCTGGCTCCGACCAGAGCACGCTCTCTCTCTCACCTTCCTTGAGCATGCCCACTCGCAGGCACTTTGTGAAGCGGCACGCCTGGCACGACTTGCGTCTGCGCTTGGTGATCTCGCACTCGCTCGCCGCAGGGCAGCTGTACTCGATGTTACCTGCACACACACACAAATGGCAAAGATCCCCCGTGTAGCCTGTAACAGACTGTTGGGGCAAGTGCTGTTCGCGAGCGGCTATGAAGGCTGGCACGGCACACGAGGGAGTGGGTGGCCAGCAGCATGCCCGGCCGCCTTTGTCTCCCCAGTGGCGATGTTTACACACCGCACCAAGTTCTCTTTTGAGGCTGAGTCGACCTAGGGGAGGCCCGGGACCGTTTCAGATAATTGTCACCGGTGTTGGTGGCCTTGAGTGGGAATCGAACTCGGGTAGCCGGGTTCGTAGCGCGGTGCACTAACCGCTACACCACCGCTCCTCACACGCAAACGCAAAGACAAAGATCCCCCGGATAGCCTGCGCACACTCGTGAAGCAAGTGTTGCTGCGAGCGAGCGCCGAGGAAGGCCGGCACGGCGTGGGCACCGCGCCTCCTCGCCCGCTCTGTCACCCCGATGGCCGCGCAGGCTTCTCGCGCTCTCTGGCAGCGAAACATGTCAGAGCTGAAGAGGTCCCCAACACAAGCAGCCGTCCTCAGGTGAAGAACGTCGTGAGAAATATTTTATTATGTTTTATTTTTATTATTTTTATTATTGTATTATTTCCCTTCTACGTGACTTTACCGAAAGAACCAAGAAGAAGGTCCCCAACACTCACACCGCAGTCTCCACACTTGCCCTGCCATAACGTCTGAAACCAGGGGCGGTTTCTTCATTAGGGCGATTGGGCGACGCACCACCAATGTCATTGAACCACAGTCACGCGAGCCGTCACTGCAGCCTCTGGATATAGTCCAATCAGCGTCATGTCACGTTCTGTGGAGTACCGCCTCTTTTGGGGCGATTTCACTCCGGCTGAGAATCGCCCCGAGTGTTCCCATAGACTTACATTCAAAGATGTTTTTTTTTCGAACGGGGGGCGCTCCAATGCATTCTCTATGGCTTCCGGGAGGGCTCGCACTAACGTGCTTACGTCATCATACGTGCTTACGTCATCATACGTAAGCACGTTTCATCCAACAATATAATTTGTGGCCACCTAGTGGAATCTTTAATAAAATAAACTTGAGTGGTTTGTTTTAATAGTGAGTATAGAAACAAACAAGATGTATTGTAAGAGTCACTTTATTTTTCATTAATATTAATGAAGTGAAGTTGCCTTTACATGCTTAAGCTGTTAATTTATCCATTGCATGGGTGGACCTTATCCTTATCAATCATCCAGACATTTGCCCCCCCCTGAGAGATTTTGCAGGAGCCGCCACTGTCTGAAACGTAAAATAAAAGTCCTCTTCTTCACTTTTCATTAACTTTTTTTTTAGTTGCTACTTACCTTTCTGGTGCAATGCGTTGCACGCGGTTGCAATTTATTCCGCTCGGTCGGTGTTAGCCACCGAGGTCGTGACGGGTTTCTTGTTTTTAATTCCTGTTGCTCCATCACCCAACTCCCCAATCCCCGGTACCGTTCCCGTACGACTGCAGTTCGCACCGATGCACTACTTTATTGAGAGCGATATTGGCACATGAAATAAAGATCGTTCGATCCATTGGTTCACTGCGATTGACATTGTGCTGATGAGATGTACCCTCGGTGTTGGCGACGAGGAAGGCACCAACCGACGACGAGACCGCGTCAAGGCAGGATGTGAACGTGGACAGCAGAGGGAGGTTAAGTTCATGTCGTCAGTGGCGACTTAAGAGCCCAGACATCGTCGGCATAGGGGCGGATGGCTTTTAAAGTCAGCAGCAGCCTCCTGCTTGCACGGGCAGGGTTGGCAACAGCGGTGGATCCAAGGAATGAGGCGGTGACAGGGGACAAGTTACCCAACGTCTCGAGACTCGGAAACCGATAGTTCAACTGAAATGTGCAATGTTATTGAGGGGCTGTGTGTCCTTGTCTCGATGTGGTCTGGGACTGTTCTTGCTGTTCTTTTTGCTGCCTTGCCCAAGCTCGGGAATTGGTGTACTTATGCAGTGTGAACTTATATAATTTATATCTATTTCAGGTATTTATTTGGAGTGATTTGCTTACCTTTCCGAAACTTTGCCCTCCTGTAATTTCTTGTTGTATTGCTTGTTGTTGCAATGTTCTGACCCACCCCGACTGGACATCCGTGAAAAAAGAGCTTCTTTGCTCATCGTATTTCTCCAAGGATAAATAAACATTCTGATTCTGACATTGTATTGATCATAACCCAAAGAAAACACACCGAATGCTTCACTTAATGATTGTAGATAGGGCACCTGTTTTTAAAATCTTGACATTTCGGGACCATATCCCACCCCCATCAGAAAATGTCCTGCCCCGCAGGTGTGAACGTGGGCGACTCGGCCCCCGACAACCCACCCTGGATGGTTCGCTTGAAGAAGGCCTTGCACGCCTCGCACGAGGCCACGCCGTAGTGGTAGCCAGAGGCCACGTCGCCGCACACCAGGCACAGCTTCTTGGGCACGGGCGGCCCGTGCAGCGCGAACGTCTCACAGGCTGAGCGGCCGCCAACGCCGACTCCGAGGCCTGGGCCCAGCGGCCCTCGCGGGAAGCCCGCCCCGTGGTTGGCGTTGCCACCTCTGAGGTTGAGCAAGAGAAGACAACGACAACAATGGGCGTGCATGGTGGCAGCAGCAGTGGGAGGGATTACACTGGTCAACACACTTTTTCTGGCATGAGGTATTCCAACGGATTTAAGGTAATTTTGGGGTGCTGATTCCAAATCTGGCATCAGTTTTTTGTCTATCACATCAGGTTTTTGAGAGATCAAATATTGCATTTTCAATAAAAACTGCAGAAGAAAAAGTATCAAATAAATGTGGATATCTACATGAAATGATGTTATAAACACACTATCTAAAAATAGAGCACCATATTTTAACACCAAAGCAGTCACTGACTCGCAACAACTTGCAATCATAAGTGACAGAGTTAATTGCGGGCAAAATCAATGAAAATGGGGTATGCCGATAGCATAAATCTGAGATCAGATTTGGAATCAGCACCCTGAAATTAGTCTAAATCAGCTGCAAAAGTCCAGGCCAGAATTTGTTGTTGTTGACCAGTGTAATCTCATGATAGATATTGGGAGAAGGAGGAACTTGGTGTGTCAACGGATCGCTACGTACGTTGCGAAATAAGTTCAACATACAGTTTGTTCTCCTATAACGAGGGAGTTGCTTTCCTGAGGAATACCGCGTCACAAAGCAGAGCTTTGTGACGTCATATTTGAGGGGGGGTCTGACTTTTTGTGACGCCGTATGACGGGGGGGGGGGGGGGGTCCAAAACCGTCCAAAATCGCATGACGTCATTTATGGACGGCACCTTATGAAAACAACACGCGGCGTTCCAGGAGAACGGACTGTACATACGTACGTCGTGATTGGGGCATTTGTTTGCAACTGACGTAACCCCACGCGTTTTATAGATTAGGTACAAAGTTGATTTTGTTTAACCATCTGAGGAAGTCCAGACAGCACGCCGGAGTGTCGTGTGCAAGAGTGATCTCGAGCGAAAGCAAAAACGTAAGAACAAGTAGAGCAAATGAAGCGATGAATGCAAATAAGAAACAGAGACAAAAATAGAAGAGGAAAAAATGTTCGAAAACAATGCACGGACATGTTATTTAAATAATGTAGAGTAACGAAAGTTACTAAAAATACTCATCATCAATTTTATTTCAGAGACATCAAAACATTTTAATTTAGGGCGAGTATCCCACTTGTATGCAAACAACTTGGGAAGACTTCAGACATTTGCAGCTTATTCGCATGATGATGATGACGACCCTGGGAAAACCGGGCCAGGCGTCAACCCTACCCACCCGTGGTGCACGTGTCCGTGGTGCCCTGACCCCCGCAGCCTCTCCACCTCCTCCTCCTCGCCCCCAGAGCCGGGGCTGCCCCTGTCCATGGGACGCGGCCGCGCTGGCGGCGGTGGTGGCGGCTGCGGCAGCGGCGGCCCGTGGCGGTCGTGCGAGGCGCCGTGCGGCTCCGTGTGGTGAGAGCCGCCGCCGCTGCGGTGATGTTGGTGGCCTCCGTTGGCCGGTGTCCCGAGTCGGTGGTCCAGGTGGAGGAGGCCGCCGGGTTGGGCTCGCACGCCGCCTCCTCCTCCGCCGCACGACGGCGGGGTCAGCGGGGAGCGTCGAGGGGGTGACGCCCGCTCCACGGGCTCGTGCTTCACGAACGCCGAGTGGTGGCCGGGGCTCAGGCCGAGAGGCGCGGGGGGCGCGGCGAGCGGCTCCGGGCGCCGATCGCCAGTGCCGGGACACACCCGGCCCAGCAGCCTGCACGCACACAAAGACCACCACCACCCCCAGCGTGTAGGCTGAACAGACTGTTGGGGCAAGTGCTGTGAGCGAGTAGTCGTAGTGGTACCGGTGAACCTGTAAACGCTGGCACACGAGGGGGTGGGTGGCCAGCACCACGCCCGGCCGCCTTTTTCCTCCCCAAGTGCCGATGTTTACACACCGCGCCAGGTACTCATTTGAGGCTGAGTCGACTTAGGGGAGGTCCACGACCGGTTCAGAGAATCGTCGCTGGTGACGGTTATCGACACCGACTCGCGCGCAAGTCGGTGAGCCGATGTCAACAATTGCCAAAGTTCAGCAGTCCCCCATATATGAAGATGTCTTCAGCCAATAAATGAGTGTCGTTCATATACGGGAAACACGACAGCGATGATCAGAGAGACGGACGGCAGGCGGATGTCGTGATTAAGGAACTCTCAAAAAGTGCAGCAATCTTGTTGATTTGTACTGGAAGTACAGCGAAGCGCGGAAATGATCCGATGGAATTGAGAAACTGATATCGCGATGATTGTCATATCATGAAAATGTTAATTGTATCGTGATAAACGATATTGCCGCCACCCTAATACCGTTCAGTCCGCACATGCACTTGTAGATATCGACACACACATTGTTTGCATTATAGACACATTTGCCAGTTTTGGATACAATGTTTAGATTTTTTCGGGTTTTATTGATTTGGTTGTTTATCATTAACGTTGTTTAACCGTTATATTGTAAAATATGGATACAATGTTCATTACAAAGCTGACTCAAAAAATTGCTTTGTCCATCTGTATATGCTGGGGTAACTAACAACGCTTGAAAGATGATCCAATACCAATTCAATCTTTATTTTAAAATGTTCCATGAGCCTTAAGGGAAAAATCAGCATACCGAGTTCACATTAATGGTATAAGTCGTCTACAAGTCATAGCACGGTTGGCTAGGTACGGTGCGAAAGAAGTTCAGAATGGCGTACATAAGACCCACAAAGAATCGGTTCTTACACGCGTGACTGTGGTCGAGACTACGAGCGATCGAGTTTTGGCAGCCAACGGAGGAGAAGAGTTTTGAGCGATGCAACGAGCTCGTGCTCAGGAGCTGCTGTGGATTGTGAACAATGCAGGATCAGTCATCAATAATTACACGCTCATTACACACAAAGTGCTTGCCACAAATGAACCACAATGCCTGGCTGGTCTCGTCGAGGAGCGTAAAACCATCACGGTCACCCTCGCAGTAGCGGCTTATGGCTCAACTATCGAACAAAGACGGTGGCCATCGCATCGCGCGCTTTCTAATGCTCTATTACTATAGTACTATAACGCCTTCAACTGAGGTAGCTGATGAGCGAGTGGATCAGCTAAAACCCATGAATGGGGGAATGAATGAATGAGTGACGTCGACGAATGAGTGACTATTTGAGAGGGTGCGGAGTGAATGAGACCTTGACGCTCTACGAGTTATTTTCAACGAGTTCCACTTCAGCGGAACGTTTGAGCGTCTGTCTCCAGCAGATGCGGCCACATGTCAGCTGCTGCTGGTGACCATACAATGGTACACGGGTATAGGTATTCAGGTAGTCCAGGCACACGGGTATAAGTATTCAGTTCATCCAGGTACACGGGTATACGTATTCAGGTAATCCAGGTACATGGGCATAGGTATTCAGGTATGCGGAAATACGTATTCAGGTAATCCAGGTACACGGGTATATGTATTCAGGTAATCCAGGTACACGGGTATCGGTACACATACACTTCCTGGGTACAGGTCAAGGCCGTAGCCATAGAGTCAACATTGGGGGGGACCAAATCTTCGAGGGGATCTGGGGGGTCCCCCCTCCCAGATAAAAATCTTAATTTGAAAACTAATTTCCTGCCATTTTCTGCCTAAAATATTAAAAAATTCACTAACACATGGGATGGACTTCATGTGTATTTTTTACAATAATGTCTAATAGTGTATTGTATTACATTTCTCTGTTTTTACTTTTTTACCATTTCTTGTTTAATTGTATGTAATGTTTGAGATTAAAGTACAACCATAATCACAATCATATAAACAGAAATCTATGCATTGATTTATATGAAGACAAGTCCAGATATTGTGGCCAAGGTTAGCAAATTGTTGTTTTTATTTACATAGCATAGCAATTATTATAACTTTTTAATATTTTTATAGCAATATATTGGGGGGGGGGACATTTTGAGCATATTTGAATATTGGTGGGAATGTGTCCCCCTAAATATATATAATTACGGCCTTGGTACAGGTGCATTATTAAATTGCACAGGTGTGCTAGCCATACCTATCAGCGCATAGATGGCCAATAATCGTACGTAATGTCGAGTTGCCATCTGAGCTACACATCTCAACGTAATCGATACATCTAAATTACACGAGACTTGGTTAATTGGTCATTTGTACTTACATTACTCCGGCTATTTGTAATCGCGATATTGTGTCCATCTCTGCATGAGTGGTAAGATATGTGGCGACTAATACCAATGGTCCAATGTACTTAAGCGTACACCTGAACTCAACGTAACACCTGCATTGATGAATACACACCTCTACCGCACACCGAGTCATCGGTAACGCTGGACTACGTTTACTGCTGCATAGCCATTATTGAACACTTTCAATGAACCGATTCCACCGATATTCAACCGCATAGGTGATTAAGTTTACCAATAATTGACAGCTCTTTGTCAATCCACTGCTGGATGAAGGCCTCCTCAAGCCGTGCGGGTCATGGGGGTTGTTTGACCATACTTCACCACGCCGGTCAATGCGGGTTTTAGTGACTGGGACGCCAGATGATATCACTCGCCACTGGTGCCAGACCTTGCCGGGAATCAATCGCGGGTCGCTGTGGTCGTAGCGTTGTGCGCTAACCACCGCTCTTCACCGCTCCACCCATTCAATGGTATAAACCACCGGTACCGATTTGCACAGCTGCACTAATTCGTACACGTAATACATTGATATACCTGTGCTGTTACACCTGCACTGACTTAGCGCTCTGGCACTGATCAATATACCTGGAATAACTGGTACACCTGTGTGTTAAACTGGTACACCTGTGTGTGTGTCTCTATGCTGCGGCTCTCTTGATTACAGTCCGGTATGTGTCATCTCGACCAGTCAACCCGCGTGTGTTAATCGCTCCACCCGTGCCGAACATAGAAATGAGGCCGAGTTGGTCCTTCTCTTCGTTTGTTGTCCTTCCCACGCACCTCCGATTATCACGATTGACGAAGTACGGTGCGAAAGAAGTTCAGCATACGTACAGATCTCGGAAGCTAAGCATCGTCGAGCCTGGATAGCGCTTGGATGGACGGCCTACGTGCACAGACTGGGTGCTAAAGGCGATTGCTTCAGGGCAGCAAGAAGGCAGTGCCCCGAAATCTATCGTTGTACGGTACGTCTATGCGCCACCGCCTTCATCAACCGCGTGTCAACCAGCGTGGGGACGCTATGGCATTCACGTGTGTGTGATATGCACTGCACATCGGGTGGGGACGAGAGTGCGTTTACTGGAGTGTGAAATGCGCCCGTGGTACACATTGTGCATGTTGTACACGTGGTGTCCGTAACAAATAATGAATAAATTAATAATAACCCCTATATTTATACATTTGCGCTGAATTGTACACAGCATATACGTGCTCATGTGTATACATAATTAGTGCATTGTGTTAATTAGTACACGTGTAGAACACCAGTTTTTCTATACGAGTAAACACATTATTGATACACGGACGTTGAACTTCTTTCGCACCGTACGTAGCCCACCGTGCTAAGCGGAGGTGCGGGGGAAGGACGGCACTGACACAGACCCATACGCATGGACGGTATCGACTTCCGGGGATTCCGTCCGAGTGCCTGGATCTCGTCCTGAAGATGCTTGACGCAGTTTCAAGCGAACGGTCGCCTTATCCGAGTCTTACATGTGACTGGGGAGAATTCAAACTCGCCCGGGGTTCGTAAGGCAGCGCGCTAACCACTGCGCCACCGTTCCCCGCGGTCACCAAAGTACAATTTCACTTGTGCGACTTTGTCGGGTCTTTACGACACATTTGGTCAGATCATTGCGTGGCCTAACCCACAATTGCATTCTGGTAAACCTTTTTACTGACGTTGACTGATGTGCCCGCGCCAATTGCTGGATCCACAAGTGATGAATAGCATTCTAGATTTGAAGCTTTCGTGACTGTAAGGATTCATATTCTTAGGTTTTTTTCGGTAAAGTCACGTAGGTAAAAAATTAAAATTAATAAAAGTAAAATAAAAATAAAATAAAAATAAAATAAAAATCACGACGTTTTGGAGGCAACACAAGCTTCCGTCATCAGGTGGAACCGTCACAGCACGATAGCTGTATCACTTGATAATTAATTTTAATTTTTTACCTACGTGACTTTACCGAAAAAACGTAAGAATATGATGAATAGCAATCTGCGTTGAATGGAACACATGTCGAAGGTGATGGGTGAGTTTTCGCGTCTTGTCCTTCTGTATCGATGGGAATCTCACAGCTCACGTCGCTACTCACGTACTCATCCGTGCTCCTGCGTTCATCGCTTCACTTAGGTTACTAATCGCTCTTATATACCGACCGAGACACTTTGCAATGGACACATATGAACGTAATTAAAATGCGTTTTGGGATATAATGTAATGTAAGTAATGCAATCGATTACTATCCAATTATCGGTTCGATTACTCGACTTATCGGTTATCAACATTAACCAACATTAACCAGACGGTGCATCACCTATTTATATATTTGTGAGGGTTCATCACGTGTAGCGGCGTCTACTGTAGATGTAAAAAAAACCTTTTTTTTAAATTATAATAATCATGATTTTAGTTCTCTACCCTGGAAATTCTTACAGTCTCGTGACTTTTTGTTCAAAAGAGAGTTCGAAGTACAGGGCGATTATTGCGATGATGTAACAACTCTAGGTATTCGTGTGGACCGTGGC